ATATACTCATAACCCAAGCGGGGATCATTGGACCGCGTTGAGGCGGTTACTGAGATATTTGAGAGGTACCATGAATTATGGTATATTTTATAGAGGTTTACCCGCTGTACTAGAGGGATACAACGATGCTAACTGGGTCTCTGACTCAGATGAGATTAAATCCAATACTGGATATATATTCACCCTTGGAGGTGGTGCTATTATGTGGAAATCAACCAATCTCTCATTTCTAGATCCACTATGGAGTCCGAGCTTATAGCTTTGGAAGTGACTAGTAGTGAGGCGGAGTGGTTGAAAATTTCTTAGCAGAAATTCCGGTTGGTACAAAACCAACACCGTTGGTGTCGTCTATTCTTTGTGATTGCTAAAGTGCAATAAATACTGCCAAGAAAATGTGTTATAATGGGAAGAATAGACACATTCGTTTAAGACATAACGTCATTAAACGATTATTGAAGAATGGAATTATTTCCATTAATTTTGTGAGGTCAGAAGGAAATCTAGCGGATCCTTTGACTAAAGCCCTAGGACGAAAAATGATAAGTGAAACCTCGAGGGAAATGAGACTTGTGTCACTTGATTACAAATAGGGATGGTAACCCAACTTGTGTGATTGGAGATCCCATGAAGCAAGTTCATATGGGTAATAACAAGTCTTTTATTTGTTCTGCTAGCCTTATTACAAGTCCCTTTATATGGTGTGGAAGGCTAGACTGCATTCGCTGTGAGGCTGAGCTAAAACTCTTAATGATTTTCACAGCCCTTACGGGTGGTGTGTTAAGTGCAGAACACACTTGATGAGATCACCTATATGAGTGTGAGGTGGGGCCGCCTCTATGAAGCCTTGACAACGCTTCTAGAGCACTCACGAACACCAGGCACGCGCACGGCCGAAATGCGCACCACGGCGTTAACGCGAGGAGTTGTGCGGGATGAGACATGGCCATTAAGACCCTGATTTACCATAGTGGCTTCTTGGTTCATAGAAACTATACGTTTCACCAAAAGCTCGGTTTATAAAGACTTAATCGTTTCAGTTTGGTTCATAGTCTACGAACACCAAGCTTAAAGTCTCATTCCTTTAATCCAGCAAATTTTAAAATTGTTTTTCTCAAAATATTTATTTGAAATATGTGGGGGATTGTTGGAAAATTAAATTGTATTTCAAATAAATTAATTATTTGGTAACAGACAGTTGTTTAATTGATCACACATCCGGGCCATGTAACGTGCGTTTTGAGAGGCTGACCAAGTTCGCTTGGTTGAGCTTTATTCTCTCCACTTTTGAAGGATCCAAAACTGCCAACTATCATTTAATTACTTTTATATTGATATATATATTATATTAATAGGATAAAAACCCAGAAGAGGCACTAAGTAGTACTTCGGATATACGAAGTCTTCTACGTGATAACCACTGCTCTGCAACTTGATCTTCTCAAAAGCATTCGATGAAAATGATTTTTCCTAAAAGTTTTTGCTAGATTATAATTATGATTTCCCTCGTAGTTCTGGTTCCGACTATTTGTCGAAGGGCTTGTTTAATCCTGAGGGAAGATTTCCGTTCACCGGAAATACTTTCAGAGGACAGCGTTTACGCGTCTCGAGCCACGGTGTTTCTCGTTGTTCTGTTTTGCAGGTCTTTCTCTGTGTTGGCGACACTAGTGCTTTGGACCTGCGGTAATATGAATAGAACAAGGTGCTGCTATGGAAGAACTAAAGTAGATGATACCCAGGAACTCCCTTGCCGTCGCAAACTGCCGGAGATAGGTGGAGAAGCTCTTAGCCGGACAACCATCATGTTCCCGTTGGCCAAAGTTCAACCGTCAGGAGCAAGTGAAGAAGTCAAACCCCCAACATTTTCTACTGAAATGATAATTATTTTTCCAATAATAACTAAAATAAATTCGTTCCCCTGTTCATGATACTTAAGCTTCCACCTCTATGCAGACTTTCTATTTTCCAAAACAAAGTACCTGGACCTGCAATTCTAAAACTGGTCAAGTTTGTTGACATAGGAACACAATGAATTATACCGATGTTTTACTCCAATTTTGGGAAAACTAATTAAGACTAGGTGCTTAACCTTCAAAATCCCTTCCTCTAGACTAACGCTATGTAGTTAGTTTCCCTATGTAGTTAATTTCCCTTTGCTTCTACAGAAACTTAACATGTGCACACACAGTTTACTTGTAAAAAATTTACTCTATTACAAGGAAATGTTTAAACTGTTATAGTTAGTTACTGGATGCTATTAAAACTTCTGAGTTCTGATATAGAGTTCAATGACTCCCAATGATGCAAAAACATAAAGTATAAACCCAATAAAGGTGTTATGCTCCCAAGTTCTACTTCTTCAGTCAATGCTAACAGTTGAGCTACACATTTGTCATTTACAAACTACATAGACAGCAGATCTGGGGTGTCTGGCATTAAAAGGAAGCTAGGGTAATTCAAGAAAAGATGATAATTGCAAATTTGACAAAACTAATATTGTATCGTGTAGAGAATGCATCATGCCTTCTTCTTTTTCTGGGACTTGAGAGTCACATATCCAACAAAAATGCTCAGGAAGCTGAGAAGTGCCACACCAGCAAACACGGGAATGAGAATGGCATATTCTTGTGGGAGAAAGTAGTTGTGCACAAAATGATCACGGTCGACAAAGGGCTGAGAAAAAGACACAACCTATTACATTAAAAATTACTCCGTAAAATTTATGAAAGCCCAACGAAATCTGGACAAGATCAAGTATCCAATTCCAAGCAAACATATTCTAACTGTTTGATTACTTCCCTACCATTATTTTGACAATTCTAATTCACACAAGAAATCAGGTGCATGTGGCAGTAACCTAACCATTGGAATACCAGATGTAATAAATTTTGGGTATGAAAGATCCCATTCATCTCCTTTCAACCAAAGCATGTGTTAAGAGATTTGACAATTGAAAGAAAACTAACCAGGATGATAACCCAGAAGGTATAGTAAGTGAAAATTGACAAGCTACTTATTGTTAAAAGCAGCCCGACGGCTTTATCTCCTAGTTCCATGGTAATCTACTCTGCCTGTTTAAATAGCAAACATATAGAATTAACTATTCAACTTGGGTTATAGAACAGCACTGACAAATAAGTATGGTACTAGTGTTTTGCGAAATAATTAGCCACATAGTCCTAAAATCCAGGATAACATTACAATAAATTCTGAAAAAAAAAGAGAGAGAGAAATCAGATAAATCTAAAGCAACCCCATAAAAGAGAAAAAGAAAGCATGGTACCAAATGCAAAGATAGCAACATAGCATTGCAACTTATATCAGATGGAAATATCCGCTTTTCAAGAAGATCAAAGCTATAGTTTTGAAGAAAAATGAATTTATTCCTTTTTTCTAGAATATGATATCCTGGATTTGATATCTGAAAATCACTCTTGAACTAAATAGTGTGTTTGTATATCCACAACTTCATTCTTAGATACATCATATGTTCTCGTCATAAGCATTCATGTGTTCTTACTTCTTAGTTGTAATAAAGCCCTCCCAGTTCACAGTCAATTGGTCCCTTTTTACCTAAAGAGAACAACCTAATACTATCGTATAAAATATTCAAATATGATTGCCTGGTCTCATTCAGCTAAACCAATTAAACAACATAAACCCAATGTCACCCAATGCAGCATCCAGAGACCATAAAGATTAAAGATGCAGCTATTAATAGAACATGTGTAACCATTTGTCATACAAAGCAAATAACAACTAACAATCCAGTATATATGGGTATTACAGTCAAACTTGAGGAAAAAATTAATCATTTATATCAATTTGAATCTAACTAAGATGCACAAACCGTTCAGATATAAACCATATTTTGGTCAATAATTGGTCGATGATTTTAAAATCATTAAAACGGATTTAACCCTGATGTAATAAATTTTGGAAACGTTGTTTAACTGACGGAGGAAGTATTATTCATGAAGCATTGACCAAAATAATTGAGGCGCGGGGTCTGGGGAAATCGGAGAGAAAAGAATACTAACCGAAAATGCCGAGCTCAGCGGACGGTTGAACCTGTATGTGAATCTTCACTTCGATTGTGCCGTGCTATATGCGTTCAGCCTTCAGATCTATTCTGAATAGAGTAATATAACTGGTAAAGGCATAGCCAGAGCACTTGACTATACTAGACCAATATAAAGAATTTTTTCCCATAAATTTTTACAAGACTTCTTTTACACTAATAATTAAAGCATCTTTTAAGTTTTGGTGGGTCGGGGATTCGGGGCCTAGGTTACCCCTAGCCCCGCCTCCGCCAATGACATGATCGATTGGTTTATGATCAAAAGGACTACAAAAAAGGTGAAGTTAAGAACATATTAGTTGGTGGTCAATATTAGCTACTGAGAATAAGAAACTAGGGCAATTTATAAAGGGGTAGAAATAGAGACACCAAACATAAATTTCTGTGTATGCAAAAAATCACTATTTGCTTGTAAACGTTTATAGTGTACCTATTAATGAAAAATTTACAATCCATGTTTTTTATATTAGTTAGGCTTGTAATTAAAGTGCAACAACTTTGAGTTCGTGGGTCATATCTTGGTTTCTTGCTCCTAACCTAAAGAAGTTCAGAAATATTTGTGCTCTGTTGCCAGAATCTCCATTCCTGTTTGACCTTCCTTTAGCCCAAAGCTGCTTTTTTAGCTCTAAATGGCCTAAATTGGATAATCTTGGCTATAATGAGAGCCTAGTATTGAAGAAAACTAAATATGACATTTAGTGTAAATGAACTGATGCTATTTCATGATTTAAAGTTAATTCTTAGGGTGCTAAAGATTCTAATAAGACCATTGCTCGAGGTGTATTAGTAGTAATGCTAATGGAATCCTATTGCTGTTGTCACAAGTAGAGGGCTACAACTCTGAATCTGTGTTGGGAGCTGAAATAAAAAACTATGGTTTGCATTTGGGACTTCAGGTGAATTCTAAAACGATTATCTTGGAATGTGATACCATATTAATTGCATTGAGATGCACACTAGTGACATTTGTAATTTGTAATGTATCACAAATTTGGGCACTTATCATGGTAATTCAATAACATCACGGGCTTCTTGGGGACATACATGCTTAAATGGACTAAAGAAATTAGGATACATGACACTAGCACGACCGCATAAAAACTATAGTAGTAATTCAAAATTTTACAATATGGATCCAAGGGAGAGATGGTCACCCATGCAAACCAAACCAGTAACTTCAGTTTTTTGTAAATCTAATTACAGATCCCGTCGAATCCACTGCAATATATCCTCCCGTATGATATTGTGGGAAAATTTTCCAAGGTCAGCTTTGGTGGAATCAGCAAGCCGCCAGTTACTGCTGATGAACTGCCTGTATTGGTGGTGGATGCTGGTAGGTGTTCCTGCAGGCCTCATCATCATTGCAACGGTGGGAAAGGTTTTTGGCAACAACATAGCATTCCTTAACGATGATGATGATGTAAAGAGATGCCTGCTGTTTGAATTGTTTTCCTGCGGTTCCTGCCCGTTAGGGTGGTCAAACTTCTTGGTGGATGTAGTAACGACCTGTTGTTTGGTGGAGAGTCTGTTTCCATTGCCACTAGGAGAATGAGGAGGATGAAGTGGACATCCTCGGATGTTTGCTGCTGGCTTTGCTTTATCAAGCCATCTAAGGATCCAGTTTCCCAAGTTCCTTCCAGCTTCAAGATCTCTCTCTTGTATTTTCTTATGAACATTCAGTGCCACATCAAACACATCTCTTGTTCGCCTGCAGCACACATTCAGCTACAACATATAGATAAACGTTCCCACTTCCCAATGGTTCTGACACACAATTTATCCACTTGAAATGACAAGCCACATCTATTAGAGCATGAATGTTGTTGTTTGACCCATATTGAAAAAATTACTACGTTGTTGTGCAAAATAGCATGGAAAATCAAGCTTGTGCTTATCAAATGTGCTCACCAAGAAATATATATAAATCCCTCGATTAAAAAAGAAATGAAACAATGAGGTTATAGTACGGAGTCTTTTTTATATCTGGTCGAGAGAGAGAGAGAGAGAGAGAGAGAGAGAGAGAGAGAGAGATGGAACCTTTTCTAAAACTAAATGGAAAGTGTTGGACTCATATTCACAGCACGGATATTATTCATTTTACCTAGAAATTAGAACAGAATAAATATTTCTAAGATAGTCTCCTCTCAACGATTAACAAAGCTGCCAATGAACACATACAGGGAAATTTACTACTGCTTATGTTATAATGTTTCTGATCTATGGCAGTGATGGTATCAATGCACATTGGTTACTTATTGTTACATTGGGTCTAAATCACCATCTCACCCTACAAGGATGTCCAAAGAACGGGGTTTACCGTTTACCTTGCATTATACATTAGATTCACACCACTTCAATCCTACTGTACAAAGATTTGCATGGATTTTTTGTTTTACCACTATAAATCTTGAAATCTGAGTCCTGACCGTTTTCATGTGAAGTAACTAACACTGTTTCAGGATGTTATGCTTAATGATTGAATTTAAGATGATTAAAATTACAAAAACAAATTTGTCTGCTAACTCAAGTATGCCGTTTGTCATAAATGACAATAAATTGAAAGGTTAAGTACTTTTGAAAAATACTAAAGAAGAACCAACTATCGGCGTTCTACATCTAAAATAACGGGGCATGACCAATCATATTTGCAATACTTAACTGATATGAAAAGGCTAAGCCAGAGCAATACTCAATGAGGTAAAAGAAAACATAGACTTCTATTACGTTTCCACTACTAACAATTCACAAAATTTCAGATGTTTCATGAAGGCATTTTATCTTTTAAAATTTTCGAAACAGAGTAAACACTCCGTATGAAAGGAAATTGTCCTACATAGGAGTAAGAGCATTGTGAAGTTCCAAAATATGAGTACTATGTTTTTCGGCTAAATAAGAGTGATTTTAATACTGTCCAATTATGATTTATGTATGCATTAAGATACTTTTAAATAGGACAAAAATAGTATTTCTATTCTAGAATTTCAATTTGTTTTACTTTTATATGGGGAAAATACTCTTAGAGGCCGTTTGGCAACACTGTTTTTTGGCTTATTAGGCTTATCAGTCAACTTTTTCACCAAACACGTAATTTCTGCTTTCGTGCGCTGAATTATGTAATAAGCAGAAAAAGTAAGGTTGGAGTTACTTTCATGACTGTATTGGCTGAAGTTATTGTAGATGGCTATTTTAGCTATTTTTACATATAATTTTTTCTTTATTTTATTAATAAAATATATTTTAAAGATAATTTTTTCTTAAATCAGCAGAGTCAGCCAATGTAGCCACTTCAGCCAAAACTTCATAAATTTCAGCAGAATCAGCCAAAACAGCCGATTTTCGTGCTACCAAACGGATTCTTAATATAACTAGATTGTCAATATCCAACAGGATTACCTAGATTTTCCAGCAACTGCTAACAACAAGTTTCTCTATTAAATCAATACTCCTATCCCGCTAAGATTGTCCCATATTTCCTTTTTTATTCTACTCACTAAGGTTGTCTCATACCGAATTTGGTAATATTTCGGTTCTAAATTATTCTTACCTTATCCCCACTTTGGTTCGATATCATATTCCTTGATAATTGAACCATCTTTTTTCCATTTGTACAAATGTCAGGGGAGTGAGGTAGTATAGTATTTTTCCGTAATTCTAACATCAGGACAAGTAGATAATCAGGAAATAGGGCCATCAACAAATTACAGGAAGTAGCAATACATTTTAGACATATTCTCATTAAACTGATGGAATATCCTGAAGGTGATGCATAAAGAAATGAGAATTAAAACTCGATGCATCGCAATCAAAACATAAGTTGAAAACTAAAAAGATCTACCAAGATCCAGAAGAGAAAAAGGAAAAGGAGCTTACTTGCGAGCGAATTGAGAAATCTTGGGATATTTGGGGCTAATCACCCGCCGCTGAATCCTCAATGCTAGTCGGTACGTTCTCTTCAAGCCTAAGAAGTACGCCGTTGCCAATGTCACCTCCCATAGCACCATTTTCCCCAATCGCGCGCTTTCCTTCCTCTTCTTCTCTCCCTACAGACACAATACGGAAGTCATTGTATAGTGCAAATGTCGATCAGATTGTCTCTATTTTTCCAGGAACTTGAAGAAATTAATTCGGTTTCGTTCGGGACAAGGCAGGTTGTCTATATTCGTGTGAAACCGGGTCGGGATGACGGGTGGCTGAGCCGAAAATATATGGTACAACCGGGTAATAGCTAAATCAATCGGATAGCAATGTCCAAACAGTGATATCTTATTCCGTTCGTACCCTTTTTAAATGGAGATTAATGTCTTCTTCCATCTTCTATGAAAATCCCTTTTAATTTTTTCAAGAACCAAATACTAAATTATTTTCAATATGAAATTATTACAAGTTTTTCTTATATATAATGATAATGATAGTTTTAATAAATTGTTATTGACAAATTTACTAGATGTAAATATTATAGACAAAAGTTTATGTTATGTTCGAATGAGTATATTGATTAAAAGAAATGAGCATACAAAAAGAAATATTATTTGAGCACATCAGAATTCAATTGAGCATTTGAATTTTTCGATGCTCATTTTGTAAGTTACTTATGCTCATATAGTATTGATTTTATGCTCATTTTAAAATATCAAATCAGTTTATATTTCAAAATTATCATACTACATATATTCGCATGAGAGTTGTTTATAGACACGGGAGCAAAAATCATGATACTCAACTACATGATTTTTACATAATAGAAGATGTTTGATGCTCAAAATATCTTGATGTTCATGTAGCAAACCTTATTATTTTCATACCAATGCTCATTTTATAAGTTACATACGCTCATTTGGTACTGGCGTTATACTCATTTTAAAATGTCATATTAATGTTTATTTCAAAAGTAGTATATTACATTAGATTCGCATATTGAAATTCTTAGGAGTTCACTATAGATATAATTTGAGAATTTTTATAAAAGAAAATTTAAGAAAAAAACGGAGAATTAGAAGTGTTGGGATATTGGGTCCAGGCCCAATATCCCTAGGCCCAAATCCGGGAAGAAGCAGCAAGCCCAAAGAACTCCCGAACGGCATTCGGGATAAAACTTATACTTGGAACATTCTGGATAACGATTATGCCAAGGTATCAAGGCCCAAATATCGATCGGCGTTCGGGATACTTCAGGTAGAAATTATCACCTATGGCGGGGTCCCACACACCGAACACCTTGACCGAACGGGCAATCAGCAAGTGGAGGCCGCATTTAATGCTGGATCATGGCGGCAACAAGTGGGGGCATGGGTGCTTACATGGCAGAGGTGATAGCCTACCAGATTCGACCACGTGTCCACCTTACCCATCCCCATTTTAGTATAAATACCCATGTTTAGATCATTGTAAAGGGTTAGCATTTTAATACTCAGAGCTTAGCAATAGATTTACATCTCCCATCCTTGTAATCTCATATTCATCTACCGTTCGGGTAGTTTCAGTGTAATTGCTTAATTACAGAATATAAGTAAGTTCTTGAGTTGGATACTATTTCACTATTTTATATTTTACACACACTTCAACCCTACCCAAGATCCCTACAATATCCAAGGCTTGTGTTGGGCTTTCGGATCTTCGGGAATAAACCTCAACATTGGCGCCGTCTGTGGGAAACGAGACTAAAAGTTCAAGGAAAACAGCTGATCTAAGCACCATTTTTTGAAATGGCTAGGCTTCATACCGCTACACCGAGTTCTGCATCCAGAGGACGAGGAGGCCATAGATCCTCTGAGGGGTGGTCCAGGCAAGGACACGCCAGTGGCAGTGCCACCCGGGAGTTCGAGCAAATCATCCCCCAGGATGTAAGGATGAACCCTCAGCTGATGAGGGATATGGCGGAGGCCATGCAACGCATGGCGGACGAACAGGAGCAGGGCTACACGGATGAAACTCATGAGCCACCATCCCCGTTGCGTCCCATGCCATCTTTCGACGAAGAGGAGGACATTGAGACCACGATGGCCTCAGTTCATTCCGAGGAACACCGCAGGAACCACTGGAGGGCCCATACCCCCAGACGAGGAGCACCAACCAGTCGAACCCCGTCCGCCCCTCGAAACGGATATAGGGAACCTACCCCCATGGTAGATCCCGTTGGGCAACACTTCCAGTATATCCAGAGGAATGGGGAACGATTCATCCGGAGGAGGGCTAACACAGCTGCTCCCCCCCAAAACAGAATACCAGAGTATGTCGATGCTAGGATGCCACATACTCCCCGAACGGCCCAAGACGACGAAATGGCCGAAATGAGGAGGCAGATGACTGAGCTCAGAGAGCAGGTCAACCGGGCGCCCCAACAAACCCCGCCAGCACGGGTTGGGATCACCTCTCCCTTTACTAGGGAAATCATGAATGCCGAAATCCTGAAGGACTGCCGTCCCTCGACCGGCTTAGCATACGATGGGGTGGGAGATCCCCACGTACACCTGAGGAGTTACCAGGGTGGCCTCATGCTATTGGGGGCCACCGACGCGGCAATATGCAGGCTGTTCTTCAGTACCCTTCGGGGACCAGCCCAGGAATGGTTCGGAACATTACAACCCGGGTCGATCGGGAGCTTTGCGGAGCTATCCACCTTGTTCTTGGCTCAGTTCGCCTCCAGCACAACCCCGAAATTACATTTCGGGTATCTAACCAGTGTGAGGCAAGGGCCTAAAGAATCAATCTCCGGATTCCTCACTAGGTGGAGGACCGAAACCCTGAAGGTGACCGGCATGACAGATGAGACTGCCATCCTTCTTTTCACCGATGCCCTTCAGACGGGAGATTTATACAGGGAGCTGAAGAGAAATCCGGGGACCAGCTACCCAGACATCCTGGAAAGGGCCAGGAACTATGCGGCCCTGGAAGAAGAGATCAGGATAAGGGACCGAACGGCCCCGCAACCTCCCACTTCAAGACTGGCAGAACGTCTGGGACCCACTCCAGCGACTGCAGCACCTCATCGAAGGACTACACGCTTCACCCCCCTGGTCATGTCTATAGCCGGTGTTTTCCACTTGGAACACAACGCTATTCCTCCCCCTACTGACACAAGGCCCGTGATGGGACCTACCCCAAGCTCCTACTGCAGATACCACCAGCGGAATGGGCACCTCACGAAGGATTGCCACGCCCTACATGTGGCAATTGAGGACCTGATCCGAAAGGGCTACCTGAGGAAGTATGTCAGCACCAACCCGAACAGCCCTTCCCCCAATCAGCGCCCTCCCCGATCCAATAGCTGGAAGCGGGATGCAGAACCCAGTAATGATTCATACCTTCCCCCTATAGAGGAGGCTGAGGGGTCTGGGAATCCAGGAAAAAAGCCACGATTGGAGGTGAAAGTCATCTTTGGCGGGGGAGAGACCGGGGATACGGCCGCCGAACGTAAGAAATTTGAGCGCAGCCTCTATGTCGCCACTGTAGCTGCACCTCCCACAAAGAAGGGCCGCCTAGAGCCAATCACGTTCGGGGTGGCTGATTTACCCAACTCACCAAGTCCGCACAGGGACGAGCTAGTGGTGAGTATGTGTATAGACAACGCCTTGATCCACCGAGTTCTGGTGGACACGGGAAGTAGTGTGAACGTGCTGTATTTACGCACGTTGGAGAAGATGAAGCTAAAGAAGGACCAGCTGACCAAGCTGAAGACACCGCTGGCTAGCTTCACCGGCAATGTAATAGAGGCTGAGGGTACCATCCAGCTTCTGGTGGAAATTGGTGATGAAATTCACCGAGCGGCAGTCCGGATGACGTTTGTGGTGGTGGATATTGCATGTGCCCACAACGCCATATTGGGCCGTCCGGGGCTAGAAGATTTGGAGGCAATTGCCTCTGTTCGACACTCATGCATCAAATTCCCAACTGACACTGGTGTAGGAGTGGCTCGAACAGATCCTGCCATAGCCCGAACGTGCTACCGGGAAGCTTTGAAACAAATGACCACCCGGGGACAGCGGGTAAACAGCATTGAGGTACAGACCCGGCGTACGGAGTTCGAGGGACGCCCCGAGCCAGCCACCCTCTTAGAATACATCGAGCTTGATTCCCCTCCCGATCGTAAGATTGCGATCGGGGTGGACCTTGAAGGGGGAATCAGGGAGGGGGTGATCGCTGTCCTGAAGAGATTCCAGGTCCTATTTGCCCGAGGACCCGAAGACATGCCGGGAATTGATCCGGCCCTCATCTGCCACAAGTTGGCCGTTCGGCCTGATGCCAGGCCAGTCCAACAGAAGAAGAGATATCAGGCGGCCGAACGGCGGGAATTCACAAAGCAGGAGGTAGCCACCTTACTGAGAATCAGGCACATTAGACCAGTCATCCATGTCGAATGGTTGGCTAATGTGGTCCTTGCCCCAAAAGGAGCTACTTGGAGAATGTGTGTGGACTACTCTGATCTGAACAAAGCCTGCCCCATGGACCCCTATCCTGTCCCACGAATAGACCTGCTGGTGGACGAAACGGCAGGATGTGAACTGCTGAGCTTTATGGATGCCTTCCGGGGTTATCACCAAGTCTTCATGCACCCAGATGATGCAGAAAAAACTGCGTTCGTCACCTCGGACGGCGTGTTCTGCTATATTGTCATGCCGTTCGGGTTGAAGAATGCAATGGCCACTTTTCAAAGAATGATCGGCATACTCTTCAAAGAGGTACTAGGGGTAACCATGGAGGCATATGTAGATGACATCCTAATCAAGAGCAGGAAGAAGGAGGATCATGTCCGGGATATGGAAAGGGTCTTCGGGATCATGCAGAAGGCCAACATGAGACTGAATCCAAAAAAGTGCGCCTTCGCAGTCAAGGGGGGCAAATTTTTGGGTTATATGATGAGCGAGCGGGGGATTGAGCCTAATCCTGAGAAAGTAAAGGCAATCATGGACATGGAAGCACCGCGGAACTTGAAAGAAGTTCAGAAGTTGACCGGAAGGTTAGCGGCTTTGAGCCGATTTATGGCTAAACTGGCCGATCGCGCCATTCCATTTTTCAAAATAATGAAAAAGGCCAACCCGTTCGAATGGACAGCAGAATGTCAGGCAGCTTTTGAAGAATTCAAATTGTACCTGTCTTCCCCCCTGGTCTTAACTAAAGCAGACCCAGGGGAACATCTCTACATGTATCTGGCTGTGGCTGATCTGGCGGTCAGCTCTGTTTTATTAAAGGAAGATGAGGGCGTTCAGCGCCCTATATACTTTGTGAGCAAAGCCCTGAACGGGCCAGAAAC